TGGATTTCAGCCCTGAGGACTAAACACTGTGTGCAGACCCCTCACTGCTGTTACCTAGAGGCTCAGCCTGCCCTTGGTGCTGACAAGGAAAGAATAGACGGTTCTCCCTGGAGCATTTTGGGTCTGCACCCATCTCAGAGAGACTGGAGAGAGGCCCCAGTCTTGCCACACAGCTTGTGGGGCAGATGTCAGTGTGTGGCACTTGTCTGCAGCAACGGGCCTTGCTTTCTGCTGTGGCTCTGTGCCCCACAGCCGGCATGCTGGGCTTACCCAGCCCCTCCAAGGTAATGCTTAGAGCAACGCAAACCCTAACACTACTTTTTCCTGGGTAACAGCAATCTGCATTCTCTTTCACAGAAGTGTGTCATATAAACAATGTCAAGTCTCCTGAGAACGTGTGCTTGTAGCCTGGAAACCATCCCCAGGATGAGTTGTGGAGACTTTTCCATAAGCAGTAGAAATTTTTTATCTGGATTTTAGTGACACAAGCCAAATAACTGCCCCTTCTCATCCTGAGAACTGCCTGGGACAGCCACTGAATGTGCATTTCAGGGTGCTGGCTGGCTCCAGAAGTTCTCTGTGGCTTCACAGCATCCTCCTGAGGTCGTGGGCAGCACTAGGGGACACAGCCGTACCTGACCTCGCTCACCCAGGAAGGGTGTGTGCCCTTGCAGTGGCAGCACTGCAGTCCTGATGAGCAAAATGAAAAGACAGATCCATTGTGGTTCAAGTTTTTAAATATCTGCAAGGGGTTCTTTTGTGAGTTTTACAGCAAAGGAAATGTTCAGAGAGGCTTGCTTTCTGCTACACAAAAAAGATCTGGAATCCCAGGAGGGAAAAGCAGCCTTTGCTCTGAAATAAGATGCTGGCAGGCAAATGCTATTTTTTTGCTTTCATTTCTGAGAGCCAATGGACTACGCCGAAAGCATTAGACTGTGACAGCTCCTACAGCCCTGCAGAGACGTTTGAATTCTTGACTGGTTTAACATTGTTGGTCATTGGCAGTGGTACGTTGCTGACCATGCTCAGAAGGCAATCTCCAAAACTGCTGGCAGCTATAGGATTGCTACAGATGTGGGGTCAATCATTACTACCGCAGGTTAAGAAAAGCTTTTTAAAATAGCCCTGCCTGTGCTCCCGTGCCAGTCCAGTAGACAGGACAGATGATGCTTGGTAATGGGAAAAAGCAAAACCAACCTGAACAAACCAAGCCCTAGCAAAACCCACATATATCCTAGCTGAGTCTTCAGTTCAGGGTGAAATGTGTTTGCCTGTAATTCAATTTTTATGAGTTAACATCTCCTAAAGAAAGGCTTTGCCATTTTGAAGGCTTCCTTGCAGTCCCAGAAAGCCAAGGGCAGATATCCCAGTGACTGTAAGGTATTGGCTGGTGTAGCAGTATCTTACTTTGCCTGGCCTGATAGCAGTAGGTCCTGCATAGCTGAGGAAAGTCCGGAGACGCTGTTGCATAGCTTGTTGACCACAGTTAGCAAAGCTAACTTGATTTCTTCTTCTATTCAGTACAGGAGACACCTTTATGGATGTTGTAATTTCCTTAACTGCTGGAGGGAACACCATGTTCCAGTGTCTCAAGATAGGTTTGGGCAGTGTCATGGGTTAAAAGGCAAGAAGCATGTGTGGGCTCCTGATGCAACATGTGGCACAGGCAGTGCCCTGATGCGGTGGGGATTATTTCCTTGGCTCCAGAACCACCTGCCTCTAGGCTGTTATGGGACTGTTGCCTCACACTTCTAAGGCCCCCTGCAAGGAGTCTTTTGAAGGCGAGACTCCAGTTTCCTATTTGTGACTTTTTCCCACACTATTTTACACTCCACGTGTTTGTAGATGCATTTTGTTTAACTTGTGGGTATAGCAGCAGCGAGCTGCAATGTCCAAGAGCTCCCAGGTCACATTGGCTGCTGAGCCACACTGGTCTCGTCAGCAGCTCCATGAGCATGGTCAGTGTGACTGCTCAGCACACAGCGTTTTTTAATTTCTTCGTTAAACGACTGAAGACAAGACAGGACTGCCATTTTATTTGGATTGCAGCTTTCCTAACGTGGGCTTTGCCATTTCTAGGTGAGTGGCATTACTTGCCTTAACTTGGGAAGCGGGAGAAGTGAAGGCTGCCTGCCCGCTTTGCCTGTCACCACTCACCTCCCTCCCTGACCACTGCACAAGGATTCATGGTTGTAGCTATTCTGCTGTACTCTAGAGAAGGCCACAAAGCTTGTCTAATGCTTCTTTCTTTTACCTTCCTGAGCCATTTATTTAAATATCCATCATGCATTGTGTGTTCAGTGCAGTTTTCTCCTAAAACATATCCTAGACAATCCCCTTCAGAAATTTACTCCCGTACAACAGGTGATGGGGGTTTGGGGGTAGATCACAGCATGGCTAAGGCAAAGCATTGGGTAGCGCAGACTTCTCCTGAGCAGCGTCTGCGGCTAGGGACAGCCAGCAGTCTGCGGTGGAGAAACCACGCTCAGAGAGCAAACACCAGGAAAGAGACCACTGCAACAGCTGCGTCAGCAATCTCGCATCGCTGGCACTCCCACAACACGATGAGCCTTGCTCACGTGCTCCCCAGCTGCCGCGGTACAAAACATCCCGGTCTCGACGCTCGCCTGCTGCCGCTCAGCTGGGTGGCTGTGCCGTGCCCCCGCTGTGCCCAGGCGTGCTGCCGCGCCGCAGGGACTTGAGCTGTGGTTTCCCCTGGGAGAGGCTGGTGCAGGCAAACGTTGCCCTGCTGCCAGGAGGCTGTGGGGAAACTGCTGCTCCAGACTTCCTCCCTTTCTGCATCTGAGGGGAAGATGCTCGTCTGGAAGACTTTAACCTCTGTGCTGATAGGTTTTCGTGCCCCCCATGGTTAATCCAGAGATGAGGTTGAATGTTGATGTGACTGGAAGTTGGGCAGGATTTTGGCTTGGAAATGAAAATTTTTGTTGTGGTTCTCGTTTCTGCATGCACCCATGTGTGGAGCAGCCCAGCCCTGCAAAAGGATCCTTGTTAGGTGCCAGGTTGATTAATCCTCACCCACTGCCTGCTCCTCTGTGCCTCCACCAAAGGGCAACTTTTCTGATGCCAAGAACTCGTGCAGCAATATAGCTGAGTTCACCACCCAAGGACTGTGAGGGCCCATGCCAAATTTTTAATTGCATTTTTCTGGCAAATAGCCATAGCTTGGTCTTAAGAAAAAGAAGTCAAGTATTTCTAGCTCTCAGCTCTGCGTCAGTCTGTTGTGGAGCAAAGCTGGGAAGTGCGGCTGGAGCTTACTTTGCTTAACTGGGGAGAGGAAGAGAGTACCCAGGCTATGGGGGTAGAGGGAGGGATGAGAGAAGCCAACAAACCAGCCCTATTTTGCAGGAGGAGTTGAAGAGACCCTGGGTGTAGAATAGCTGCCTTGGACCCACTGCTCCTGCCAACATGTGGCTGAGCTAGGAGGATGGTCCTTTTGCAGGTGGGAAGTGTTCAGGCTGAGCGCTGTTATTCTGGCTCGTGCTGAACAATGGCAGCTCTCCTGTCAGACAAAACCATGATTTTTTTTGACCACTTGCAAGCAGGTCTGCCTGGAGAGTCGAGCACAAGACAAGTTTCACTGTATTACCCTTGTTGGAGAAATGGAGGCCCTGAGTTGTGCAGTAGCTGCGATAAAGCATTGCGAGGCCTGGCAAAACTCATTGCATGGCAGAAGCATGATGGAGACAGAGGATTATCACACACACATTTTCCCAAAGGCAAATGATGTACCATCTTCTGGGTGATTTATTAGCTATTTTACAAGTCCATTTTAGATGAAGCCTCTACGATCTTGTCTCCACTGGGGGGGAGAAGGGTTTATCTATCACCCTGAGTTTCCTGCAGCATGTGGAGCCTATTCAGGAGCCATCTGCGTTGGACGTCTGGCCCGTGGCACCTCCGACACAAACATAAACCCTCATTAATTGCATGAAGAATATGTTGCACCAACAGAGTATTTCAGGCAGGTTGAGTGGCTGTTTCAGTAACTGTTCACCACCCTCAGAATTTTATTCAGGAACAACTTGGGGCATATAGGAGCCAGCGCCTTCCTTGACAAACAGCAATCGGTTTTCCCCCAGGGATGTGTTTGCTCCTGCAGAAGTGCAGAGTTGCACTCACCTGCACTCACCGGAGTGTACCGCTTAGGGCTGGCCCAGCCCGCCCGAGTATTTCAGCAGGCCTGCGGAGCGAAAAGCGCCAGCTGGCTGGCCCCTTTATGTCTCATCCATCTCCTCTCTCACCTCTGCAAGCTGCCCAGGAGAGCTGCAGAGCTGAGCGGCCAGAGTGGCCACTGGGGCCTTGGCTCTGTGGCCAGGAAAGGGCCCCTGCATCCCCTCAGGATAGGGAAGATGTAAATGGTGCATCTGGGTACTGAACAGCTGAATTCTCCCAACTACACACACATCTGGCTCCCTGCCTAAAAATTCCCTCTTTTATATCAGTTTCAGCGTGTACACATTCAGAAGGCTGGATGTTGCACCATCTGAGCAAAGGTGGGAATGTGCAAGCAAGCCCAGGAGGATGGCGGCTTTGCAGTCAGCTCGCGTGTGTTTGTGGCCAGGAATTTCCCAGCAACGCTGTGTTCCTCCTTGGTTCAGCAAAATCGGGTGGGTCGTTGAATTTAGGGGAAAATCGTCTGCCTCTGGCTAGGATCTGTGCAGACACAGGCTTCTCCTTATGGTCTGCTCATTTTGGTTAAGCACAAAGATGGGTTTTCTGTAGGCTCAGCCTGGTGGGGAATTGTGTTGGCTCCCCGTTGGTCCATACACGAGAGCCTGTTGCACATACATATACTTTGTCCTGACTGTGGTCCATCCCCAGGTGGAAGCAGCTCTGCTTCTGTGACTCAGGCTGCACAGAGGATTGTCAGTGCCTTGCAAAGAGCCACATATTCTGGGGAACGAGAAATGCGAGCTATGGGCTTGCAGTGGCAGCATAATACACGGCAACAAAGCCACATAAATATTTATTGGCGCACAATGGGGGTAAGAGCTATTGTCACAGTAGGGCAGAACCAAGGCAGGATCCATGATGCAGGATGCCAGAAGCCAGGAGAAAGAGCTCAGCTGTGGGTACACAAAACGGTACTCAGCCAGCCAAGGCCACTGGGAGCGATGGGTGGAGGATAACAGCTTTTTTTGGCCTGTGCACACAGTCATGCTCAAGTGTTGCTCAGTGGAATAGCTGGGGGATTATTTTTAAAACACTTTTCCTGGAAAGCAGCGTTTTACAGCCCAATGGGTGTAAGCCATATCCCCACAGCAGGCTGGCACACAGCTGGTGTCTGGAAGAGGCTATATACTCAATTTCTGTGCAGGCCGATTGAGGGGACTTGTGGAGAAAAGAGCATTATTTGATACTTCATGCTATTTCCTGGGACCCATGCGAGGCTTAGGAACAGTGAACATTGTCCAACTTTAGCAGGTTAAAGCAACAAGCTTCTGATGTTCTTCTGTACCTCGTGTGCAAGATGTCTCCCTCCCTGTGACAGCTGGATTTTCTTCATCCCAATTGCAATGTAGTACAGACAACTGACTCCAAAATGTTAAAGAAAATCAGGGCCCTGGCTTACAAATGCAGCCATGCCTCTACGGATGCAGCTTATTCTGGGATAGAGGAGCTAGCTGTAAAATTTTCGGCTCAGCTATGTGCCTGCAGCAGTGAGTGCAGGCCATCTGTGGTGCTGAGGAGCAGCACAGATGTCCCTCAGGTTACACCCTGTAGTGAATATTGGTTTATACAGATGTGAATCAGGAGCATCTCCCAGTGCTGCATAGCAGGGATGTGCAAGAAGAGATCATCCAGCAGGGACCTCTTGGCTGTCGGCGAGTCACCAATAACTAATTTGCAAGTACAGCTTAGGAGCTGTTGTATGAAGCTTTTGGTCATCTTTGTGTGCCACATCTTGTATGTATTTTTGCACATTGGGAACTTTTTGTCAGTCCTTATTAGTCAGAGTTACTTCTTCAGGTCTGCCACTTCTTCTGTAACTGGTTTCTTCATTGGCTAGGCTAACCTCTCAAGATGTCTTAACCCAATACTGAATCACAGCATGGTTGGAATACTTGTGTGATAGCATCATCTGTCACTGTTGAACAACAGCAATAAGGAAACGAGCAATATTTCGAACTGGAGCAGAATGAAAATAGACAAAACAAGAAGGGATACTGTAAACCTTTGAATCCCTAGCAGGGAGGTGGATATCCAAGCCCTGAGCCTCCAGAGAGCTGCATGTGCCAATACCTGGTTCTGTTTGAAGATCACAGAATGGTTGAGGTTGGAAGGGACCTCTGGAGATCATCTGGTCCAAAATCTCTTGGTGAGAGCCAGGACACAACTTCCTCCTAGTCTGCCTAAGTCTTGGAGGGTTTCATTGGACTTGGTTGGATACAGATAATTTAATAAATTATACTTTCACTGTAATTCCACAAATACAGAGATAGTGGCTTTGCAGCAATTTAAACTATTTTTAAAGACTCTTAAGTAACTTAGTAGTCATAGCAGTTGAGAAAATGCCCTAACTTATGCTCAATTTAGAAATTGAAAACTTGGAAGTACTGCCTTGTCATTGCATTCAAGATGTTTCTGTACTGTATTTCAGAACAGAGTAAATTAGCAGTAGAAGAAGAAAAGAAGTGGGAAGAAAAATGCAATAAAATTTGTAACAAAATGGCAAAACCCAGCTTAAACCCATGAAAATCACATACAAAAAGGATCTTGTCACCTGCATCAAGTGCTTCCTTTTCCAACACCACGGCACAGCCCCATCTCACATTCCATCTCTGAGACACAGGTGCAAAGGAGCTAGGTGATTTGATGCAATTTATCCATGGAGCCAAGAAATAATGTTCCCTTCTCTGAGGTACAGGCAAGTCCAGTCATGGATTACGTGCTTGGCTTTCCTCAAGCCACAGCCTCTACTTGTGCTGGTAGATGGTTTCCCAATACCAGCCTTGACTTGTTCTCCAGGTGGCAATTTGCCCCATCACCTCTTCCCAAACGGGGGATAATCCCCTAGCCTCACCCTCTGGTTGCCTCAGTTTTTCTTGGGAGACTTCTCCCAAGTATTTCCAGTGCCATCTCACCATCCCAGCAGGATGTGCTGCCCAGCCCTCAGCTGCACAGGTACCTCTGTCTCAGGAAGTGGTGTCCCTCAAAAGGCACTCATTTTGGTCAGAGCCAGGGGCTCCACTGAGCTGCAGCATTCAGTGGTGGGCAAGGGCACGTTTGGAAAGAACTCATTTGAAGTGTACTTGTAGAAAAAAGTGTAAAGGAATAAAGCGTTAATGATGAGAAGCTTGTAGCCCTTCTAGATAAACAAGGTTATTCTTATACAAGGACTCTGTAACACTGTAAATTCCAGGATTGTGGGTGAGTAACTCAGACTGGAATCTGATCCCTTATGCCTGAAAAATTCCTTAATTGTTATTAGGATGGAAATACTACAATCCATTATTTTAAAATAATGCTGCCTGAGCTTGGAAAATTCACATTCAAATAGTAAGAAACAGTAATTTTAAGTTACCAAACCAACATAATCTTTCTGCACAAGTGCATATCCTATGCTCAGTAAGGCAAGGTTCCTGGGGAAAATGACAAGTGTAATTAAAACCTGTCTCATCATGCATGCACTCAGGGGAGGGCAAGCTGTGATTGTAATGGTAACTGCTCCTAGCAGGTGTTTTTCTTTTAATATGAGGTACTAAATAAAACTTCCTGTGTTTATTAACCCGAATACTCTCCTGTACGCTTCTAACAGTGCCACTCTGATGTGTTGCAAACAAGGCTGAACTTGAACCTATAGATCTTTCAGCATAAACTTTTGTCTTCAGAGGTACAAAACAACCTACCTTAGCTGAGACTGTTAGAGGGACCTGGAGCACTGTTGATGCTGAAAATGCTTTTGCACTGTGTAGCTCTGGAGGTTATTAGTTTTCCGTGCTGAAGATCTTGGGCTTGTTACAGCATGGTGGGAATCCTGCACAACTGGTGGGTGAGAAGAAGCATTGTCATCTGTTGCCTGCAACTGTGAAAGGATGGATGTGGTCAACTACTTTTTTAATAAAAAGAGTCAGAAGGGAAGGAGGCAGAGCTGGAGCTGGGCACTGGCTTTGGATAGTCTGAGCCTGATGTGTCAGTTCAGAAGGGCAAGGTGCTGGGTCTGAAGGAGGGGGAAGCTTGGCTCCACTCTTCCCCCTGCGATACTTGATAGTTCCCAGGCACCCCCAGTGCTGTGAGACTACCTGGGCTTTTATGACTTTTATTTGAAGTTCATTTCTAATTTGCTGACAGAATTCTCCCAAGGAATGTAGACAAGTGGTAAATGGTGATTAATTTAGACAACCTAAGTAGAGGACTTACGACGGGCTCCCCATGTAATACAAGAAAGTTAACGGCTTGCTGATGTCCTTTTGTGAGTGAATTGTGTAGCCTGGTTGTTTAATGGAGTGTTTAAAAATTGTGTTGGCAATAGCCTATGCATAATGTATGCAGGAATAATGAAATACCTTACTGCTAAGAAACGGCTGATATGCTGGGGAAATTTCCATCAGATGTGAGAACAATTTTGAAAGCGCTGTCTTCTTGGGATGCCCTTTATTTATGGTCTTGCTGCTTCAGAGATTGCATTCCCTTTTTAGATACTGCATGTGAAGATGCCCTCCACTGCCTCTGCCTCTGTCTTCCAGCTTCACCTGACCTCCTTCGCTTGTGTCTGTAAAAGCTCCTGAATTGTGATGAGTTTAGGCTTTATTAACTGAGCACCGTAAGTGTGGAGTTATTTGCTTTGCAGTCTTCAGCCATTCTAGGTATCTGCACCAAGGCACATTGCAACAAAGGAAGACAGACACTGGTTTGTGTCGTGGCAATGTCCCATGATGCAGGAAGTAGAACCCTAAAAAAAAAAACCCAATGATTCATTTGCAGGTTTTTGGAGTACAGGTTCCTTGCGTGAGATAAGAAACCCCAGTGTCACACATGGATGTTCGGATTTTGATGGACTTTGCAGTATGAACCCAGCTCTGATGCCTCTAAATTTCCCCCCGTGTCCTCCTCCAGTGCAGGAGGCCTCTGTGTGCTTTGGCCATGAGTAGTGGGAAGTTGTGATACTAAGCAACTAAATCTTGCTTGACCAAAGAAATGTGAAGATTGAGAGTGAACCCCTGCTTGCAGGGGAGCTCTGGAGGTTGCACTGCCTTAGCTGCAGGAGGAAACAGCACTCCTAAAAGACCCCAGGACATAGCTCAGCAGGCACATGAGACAATCACAGTCTCTTCCTTTGCTCCTTGTTTTGTCCTTCAGCTGCATTCCAGGAGAAAATAAAATCATAGCTTTGTTTCTCATATGGACTTTTCCACTAAAATGCAGAAGTATCACAGGAGGGCAGATGAGCACAATATGTATCTTATCACTGCCCAGAGTGGTCTCAGCTAAGTGTGTGTTAAGAGGAGACCCAGCTTGTGCCCTTCCTCTGCTGTGGTTTTGTTAGGAGTAGCATAGTGCTCGTGCTGCATTTTTGTGTCTGGATTTACACAGTAGAGCCCTGAGTCAAGACGTTTCCTGCAATATGGGCAGTATATTACTAGTGTAATGCTAGGACAAAGCAACGTATGATTGATGTTGATATTAGTCAGTTGAGGAAGTGACATCCTTACCTGGGAGGTTGATGTGATGGGTTTTTGAAGTCATGTGGTGATGCCAACAGCAAGCTCCAGGCGTGAGGCTACAGGGCAGGAGAATGAGTTAGAAGAGAGATTGTATCCTCAGGGTCATCTGCAATTGGCTAAGCAGCAGGATTTGCCAAAATAGGAGGGAAGGTTTGCACTTTTGTTGGCTTGTTTGCTGCTGGGATATTCCTGGGGAGAACAGTATTTTCACAGCTACAGGAAAAGAGGTGTGTAAAAGGGGTCACTCTAAACACAAGAGAGGTGGCAAGGACCACCAGAGGAGTTTGGCTGATGGCCTAAATGTTTTCAGTAGAACAAATAAAGAGAAAAGGTATCTAAAACTTCCTCCGTCTCCACCACCCAAAACCCATCCTGCCAGCCAAGAAGTGTTTTCAGCAGAGAAGGTCACAAAGGTCTAGGCTGAGGATCATGGTCATCTCCAACCAGCCTCTCTCAGGGTAGAAATGCTGCTAGTGACAGTATACATGAAAGAGCAGCTTTCAAAAGGAAGGAGGTAGTTCTGTTAGGCAGTTTATTCCACTGATGCTTCTGATGATCCTATTAATTTATCTCTTTTTTAACGTTTGTTTCTTTTAGGTGAAGAGTGAAGGCCCTAAACTGGTACCCTTCTTTAAAGCCACTTGTGTCTATTTTGTCCTCTGGCTGCCAACTTCTAGCCCCTCCTGGTTCAGTGCCCTCATCAAATGTCTGCCCATCTTCTGCCTGTGGGTTTTCCTTCTGGCTCATGGAATTAACTTCTTAGTGTCACACCGGAGCGCCAGCCGCATCCTAGCGGGACTCATATTCTCAGCAGTGGGAGACGCCTTTCTCATCTGGCAGGAGCAGGGCTACTTCATTCATGGTGAGTGTGGGGTCAGTCCTAAAGGGATGCCACAGTGTCCAGCTGTTACCCTCTTTATTTAGTGATGAGTTGCCAGGCCACATATTTTGTTTATGCATGTACAGCTTAAGCCCCGGGCAGTGGGAAGCACTCAGCCCTTGACTAAAATCCATCATGGTTAGAGGAGTCATACCATAGATGAGTCTTTCTCTTGAGCTTCTCTTGAGGTTAGAGAGGTAATTGGGGCAGGTTTGGTTCACTGGCACGTGCTCACAGCATCTCAGATGGCTGGAGCTGAGAAGGTGGCATGGGCAGAATCCCTGCGGAAGAGAAGGAAACGCCTGTGGCACTCAGCAGCTCCTATGAAGCTATGGGAAGTATCTACCTCCTGTCTCTCTACAGGGAGATCTGTCAGCCCATCACTGCAAGGATCAGAAATAGGACACATGGTGCAAAGGTCCTCAGTGGAGAACAGGTGGAGAGGACCCTTATGTTTTGATAGACAAGCCCATAGCCTGGGGTAGGTGTTTAAGTGGATGCTAGAAACCAAAGCACCAGAAATCTTGTCCTACCTGCAGGTTCATCAGTATGAATCATGCAGCCTGTTGTGCAAGACATGTCTGTTTTGCAAGACATGTAAATGATGGGGAATCAAGGACAAGCCTTACCACGATGGCCTGTCTTCTCTACAGAAAGATCCACATCTCTCAGAGCAAAATAAGCTTGTTTTATTTTGCTAGTTTGCAGACTAGAACATGATGATTGAGATTAATAATTTAAAGCCACCTTGAACCTGCCTGCAGCAACACTCTTCTGGCCTTGGACTGTCCCAAGAAGTCAGCAGCAGTTGAGTCACTAAACTGACTGGTGGGGTTTCTGAAGTTAATTTAACCAGCACAGGGATCTCACGTAACACCCACCATTAACTGGCTGCTGTGACTGTCCCACTGGAAAATGTGATGAGACGAGGGAACTTTTCTGACTTGTGCTGTTGTCAGCTCTGAATGTCAAAGGCTTATTTTCTCCCCCTCTCATGAGGGCAGTATTTAGTTTTACTATGGGATTCCCACAAGCTCTTTCTTTATGAGAGGGAAGTGTGTGTAATGCCAGATATGAAAGGCCAAATGCTCTGAATCTGGTTTTAATCCTGCTTCCCAAGGGCTTATCCCAATCTCATTAAAAGTTCGTGTAAAATTTTTTACTGATTTTGGTGGGGTTTAGATTAGGCCCTGGATCTATCTGGCTGAACCTTGGGCATGCTGCTGAGGAGCTCCAGCCTTTCTCTTGGGGTGCCATCCCCTCTGTGCTGTGCTGGCATTCCCACTAGGGCATTCCACGGGCCTCCTCCTAACAGAGGTACCCAGCTCAGCACAGGCCGCCTCAGCCCGACTAATTGTGCTTCTGTTTTGCCTCCTGGAGTTGCTCCTTGAGCTTTGGCTTGGAAAACATTCAAGGCCTGATTCTCACCATGACTGCTTTTGTATATGGACTGTTCTGAGCTTCTCCATTCCCACATAGCTGGGATATCTCTGAGTTCCTGCTCCAATTTAGTGCTAGAGGAAGGCCAACCAGTCACAGCAATTCAGTATCTGGTTAATGTGTTTTAATCTGCAAATAAGTTGGATTTTTGACCCTAGTCTCACAACTGAGAAGTGTTGCTTTGTGGGTTTATTTTTCTTTTTAAGGAGAAGAAAAGCTCTGTTGGAGCATTTTGAAAATCTCAGCCTTCAACCTGGCTGTCTCCTGCCTGCCTCAGTCTGTGCAAATCCAAGTACCATCTTTTGTAGTGAAGTGTTAACATTTGCATTTCAGCTGTTAGCAGATAAAGCCCACCATCCCACTTCATCCTTCACCTCGCCTGCAAAACCTATTTTCTCCTATTTAGAACTCAACAGGCTGCTGTTGTTGAAAACTGACAACGTTCAACCTTTTGACATCATCGTTTGTGGGAATTTGAAATTTCAGGAGAATAAGAGGAAATACTAGATAAAAATGTACTTTCTGTTCAATTTCTACAGCTTTTGGGCTGAAAACAAAGGGTTGGGATCTGGGCTGATTTGAATAGCTTTTGAGACAATGAGTTTATAAAGGATATTTGTTCATTACTTATAGGGAAGTGAGAGCCTGGGAACTTACTCCTGGCACACTTGACTTTTTTCAGTTTTTGCTGTTTCAGTCCGCTAATAACACGCTATTTTCTGACTAGTGTCTTACTGCACATAGAAAATACTTCACAGGGTTAACATCCACCTCCTTTGATAGCAAGCACTTAGAAACAATTTATGCATTTGGTGAAGACAGGGACTAACAAAAAGACCTCATTGCCAGCCTGAGAGGAAAATCCAGGGGCAGGCAGGGGGAAGGAAACCCAGGGGAAGGAAGCGGACAGAGAGGAGAAGAGCTGATCTGCTTGATGTGGTTGGGAGGACCATGGCAAAGGCTGAGAAATGCAAGAGAAATGCAGTCCCCTTCCCTGTGCAGCCATCACAGGTTTCCCCAGTTCCTGGCTTGATTTGTGGGTGTTGAATGAGCAAACCTGGGAGCTGACTCGCTTGTTTGTGACCAGCCTCACCACATATCACAAAACTCTCTTGCCTTTCTGGGCTTCTGCTTGGCTGACACATCCTGTCCTCTCCTCCTCCTCCTCCTCCTCCTCCTCGTTGCCAGCTGCCTGCATGTAGGACAACAAATTCTTCAGTTCCCTGTCCTAGAACTATTCATATAATGCCACTGAAGGACAAACCACTCCTTACTGCTAGGGTGAAGTAACCTTCTTCTCCTTGCTGCCCCCAGGGCTCTAACCTTTCCTGCACTGTGACATTATAAACAGCTTTTGTTCTAAATCCCTCCTCGGTTTCCTCACTGGTGTGCCCATGATGTGGAATAGCTCTGTGAAACATCAACTTCTTGTTGCCCTCCTTTGCACTTCTCTTCCCCTTCACACCGTCCATTTTCCCTAGCCTCACCTTAACCAGATCCCCAACAGCCCCCTCTCCTGCAGGTTCCCCTCTCGCCCCACCACAGCTGAGCTTGCAGTGGATGTTCAGTCTGGTCCTCCCAGAAGGCAGGGAGACACTCCCCTTCTTTGACCTGCCTCAACGTGAGTATTAGGATGAAGAAATGTCTGCCAGCGGCAGGATTTAGTGATTGCCCTTTATACCGCAGCATCATGCTTTAAATGCATGCGTCCTGCTGGAGGACTCGGCTTCCAAGATCCTTTTCTCCATTTCATGCTTTAGAGCTGCATGAGAACTTCCAGCTACTCTAATAACCCTGCCAGGATAAAGTGGGACAGCCTGCAGCTGCACCATGTGCAGGTCCAGGAACCAGAGGACCAGAGGAGCTGGACTCAGTTTGGGGCCCATTATCTACAATTGGCGCAACAGCTAGTAGTCAGCAGCTGTACGAATACATTGTGACATTTTTTGTCAAATGGATTAGTGGCAAGGTAATAACATATGGGCAGTACCTTCCAACACCCACATCTGGCATTTCTCAGGGGTGTTGCACTTCAAAGGGAAGCCGGCATTTTATTTTCACTGATTGATTCCAGCTAAGGTTCATCTGAATCTTGCAAACAGCCATAAAATTGTTGGCAGATCACATTGGTGCAGTCCCTGAAATATGCCAGCTGCTTCTTTCCAGCTTAGGTTTCTCCTAGCTATGGTCCGAGATGGAGTAGAAGCCAGATTTAGTCCCTGAGTGCCTCTGGGTTTGTGGCTAAATACGGTCAGGCTTTGTGTCTGGGTTTGGAGGGATTTGTATCTTTTTTTCACATTTTGTTCCTACACTGCTCTGATTTCAGCCTTCCGGTTCCACACGTGACCTATGAGCAAAACACTTTGGATATTTAGAGGGGATGATCTTTGGTCTGCCTTGCCCCCACCCTTCCGTCCAAAGCAGGGGAGGAGGAACCACCTGAAAAACAAACTTTGTTCCTTCTGCAGCAGCTTAGTTCACCTGGGCTCTCAGCAAAAAGGCTTGCATCACAAGAGTTGTACTTGGCTGCAATTGTAGATGCACTGGGGCTTTTTCTTAGGGCGGGAGCTTGGTGCTAAAGCTGACCTCCTGTGCACAGATTTTTATATTAAAATGGTCCCAAGTGGTCAGTATGGCTCCCATTGAAAGCGTTGAGGGTTGTAACACTGCAAGGACATCTAAGCCTGTGCTTGTTGTGGTATATTTAAAACCCAATATAGCCACATGTTTTCTTCTGCTACCAACTGCCAGTCACTGATGAAAGGTCACACTTGGTATGTCAATGCCTCTTTCCAGGTCTGCTGATGTTCGCCATCACACACATCTTGTACTCTTCAGCCTTCGGCATGAAGCCTTTAGACCTCAAAGCCGGCTTGTTGATGGGCCTTGTTTCCAGTTCCTGTTATGCCTTCCTGTACTCCTACCTCTCAGGCCCATTCACCTACCTGGTAGCTGTCTACATCGCCTTGATTGGCTTCATGGGCTGGCGAGCGGTCGCCGGCATGCAGCTGTGCAACGACCTCTGGACATGGACGAAGCTCTCGGCCTGCATCGGCGCAATGCTGTTCATGGTGTCGGATCTGACCATTGCACTTAACAAGTTCTGCTTCCCTGTGCCCTACTCGCGTTTCATCATCATGGCCACTTACTATGCAGCCCAAATGCTTATTGCACTGTCAGCTGTAGAGAGCAGAGATGAAGAGGACTTCAGAAAGCGGAGCTAGGTGGAGTGCCAATAAGTCTGTGAACAACGTGGGTTATATCTCAGGTGCTGTAGCTGCATTCACCCCTGAGAGAGATCTCCATTTCTCTAGGCACATTGGTGATGTTGATTTTGCTTCTTTGAAGCATTACCTTTGGGGCTTTTTTTTTCAATGGCTTTCTCTGAATACAGCTTACTTCAGTGTGGAGTCCACATCAGAAAGCTTAGACTGTCCCTGCAGTAGCTACTCATCCAGCTTTTCCTCCTTGGAAGTGCTGTACTACTGCATTTTACTTGTTAGTCTTGAAACTGATGCTGAGTGTCTGGGAAGAGGAGTGCTGATGGAAAGGAGGTTTGGCCATACACTGCGCTAGAAGGCTTGCTTTCAGTAGTAGGCAGACAGGCACAGATCTCTGCTGAAGTCATAGGTAAAAATGAATTTAACAGAAGTTTGTCTCTCTTTGTGCAGTATAAACTCACTACTCAAACTGGAGCTATTGCCTCTGCTGAAAGGAAGCCTGGTGGCAGAATAAAAACAGCATATCCAGATGAGGGCTGAGCTTTGGAGTCAACAGCAACATGTGGGGCAGCCCCCAGCAGAACCAGAATGAAGGCAAAATACCAAGCAGAGAGCACAGAGCAAGAGGTGTGCTGACATGCAGTGCTGTGTGCTTTGATCGTGGCTGATCACGGCTCCAGGGCAGGTCTGTAGGTGCAAGTCAGCACAGCCATGTGTGGCAGAACTAGGAGTGTGGTGGGATTTCAGGGACATGTAGGTAGCCAGGCCAGTGCGTTCTCCCCTGCCACGCGTGCACAGTTACATGGTGTCTGCAGCTGAGATGTAATGGGCACATGAGGAACTTTGATTTTTACAGCAGGACTTTGGGCATGTGTCTTAGTAATGTATGCCCTAATTGTCCTTAGTAAAGCAGACAGGAATCTAACCTTTATGTCTTTCTTTCCCAGTATCCTAACAAATAATATTCCACACACTCATCAAGCTTTACAGTACTGCTGCTTGCAGTATCTCTCCTGAATCTTCATGTGGGCATTTCCTGTGGTCAAGGCCCTGATTTTGGATGTAGATTGTTGTCGTGTTTTGTTAGCTGGCGGTAAACAATCAGCTTTGCACCACTTGTTTTTTCCAAAAGCCCCTTTTCAGAGCAGAGCTTCCTGAAAAGCACTGTCCTGTGTGTTCAAAGTGCCTGCTGCTTCCTTCTTGAACTGACATGGATGCAGTGAGACTGTGCCATCGGCCAGGAAAGCCAGTTTAATTCTGATCCAAATACTTTGGTTGGTTTGTCTGCCCATCTGCTGAAGCAAGATTACTTCTGACTTCAGAGTCTCTTAAAAAGATATAAGAAGAGGTTGCCCTGATTTTTAATCCAAGTTCATTTGTGATCATGTGTATATTTTTTCCTTTTATTTAGGATATCTGTTCCTGTTTGAAACTATCTTGAATCTGCTTTTTCCTTATGTCCGTCCTAGGGCTTCTCCCATGGTTTGAGATGCTCCCCCAATGGATTGTTTTAAGACACGAGGGCACTCAGGTGTGTAAAGGAAGCTTGCTGAGGGTTCCTGCACCTCTTCAAACCTGCAGCCAAACAGGGACAACCAGAGCAGACTGCACAACTCGCATCCATGCATGCCCCGACAGCCCCTTGCCCCAGCAGTCCCTTGCACACGCTCACATGGGCAGAGGGAGCAGGAGGGGCAGCCCTTCAGACCAGCCTCCTGGGCTAGAAATCACCACGGTCTCCATACCTAGCATGCCCAGACCATTCCAGGCAAAAGCCTGGCACTGAGTCCCTGGCACAGTTGGCAGAGCAGGAACTCCTCTTTGCAAGGAGTGTGGCAGGGTCAGGGGGCAGCTGAGGAAACCCTACCAACCCTGCTAGTTTTTCCCGAGGTGTTGAGAGGTGCTAAGTGGGTCTCCTGTTCCTCCCTGGCCTCACATGGTGGGACTGGGTGAGGAATGGGCATTGCCACCCCATGACTTCTGCATTAGGGCAAATGCAGCCAGTATCACAAAAATCTAGGTTAACCATCCTGACCCCGTGGACTCATCTGCTGCTTGTCAGACAGAGATCAGAAAGGTCAGCTGCATTATTCAGAAGGAAAGCATTGCAAATAGCACAGCCCGGTGTAATCTCTTCCCTTTAATGCTGTTGTGTAATATTGTCAGTATTCATTCACTGGCGCACCAGGGCCTGCCTGGAGTAAATTGCTAAGGGGATTGAGCGCCATAAAACATCTTCATTCATCAGCATTGCTTATTTCCTGGCCAAAGCTTGAACCCTGCAGTGTAGCTCTTTGCGGATGTCACCTGCTGTTACTCAGCTTGACTGTTTGCAAATCTCTTCCTGCAACAGATTGACCCAGCTAAGAGGAAATCTAAGCATTTGGGGTGAACCCCACCATCCTCCCAGCATGTGAGCAAACAGCACATTTCAGTCTGATTTACAGCTCCTTGTCATGGGTCAGTCCAGCACACTCAGTCCTTAGCTTGCAGTTCTTCAGAGCAGCTTCCCATAGCCTGAGCTTCCCTTTGCTTTGAGGAAAATGCGTGTATGATAAAGTAAGCTTTATTTAAAAGTTAGTATTTTGATTATCTCTTTCTTCCCCTTTAGAAATCAGTAGTCTTCAGTTTTCTAAAGATGTCCAAGGTGCTTTTCTGTGTGCTTTTTCATCTTGGCTTGCTTTGTTATCCTGATCCATCATCAGCCACTGGATACTTGCAGAAAAGGATCTTTTAAGTGTTATTAGGAGGCCTGCCCTCTCCTCTCCGCTGGCCATCAGAGGTGCAGTTTCTGGTGGCAGACGTCTCTGGGTGCCTGTAGCTGGGACAGCAGAAACATGTGTTGTTCCCTCGCTGTCCCCTCACCTGGACGGGGCTGGCTGGGATGCATCCTGGCCAGCCACGCTGGCTCTATCCCAGTGCTGCAACGGCTTCAGCCTTCCCAGGAACACAAGGCACAGCCCTCAGCATACAAAGTCAGGGAGAGTCCTGGCTGGCTCAGATGTTTGCCAGTAAAGGCTCTTAATCTTCAAAATCTCTCTCCTGCTCTGCATTCCTCCTTTTAATCCATATTACTTGAATGAGACCGTTTTCCTGGAGGCTCTTTCCTGCTGGGAAGAGATCAGCTGCTGCGGACACTGATTTGACACAATGTTCATAAACCCTGAGAAACACTAAGCAGTTGCTGACAGTCTGTTAAATACCTTTTCTTGGGATTAAACCTGTTCCCTCAACCCCAGCAAGGGCAATCTTCACTTTGAAAGAGAGCAAACAAGAAGTGGGAATGACATGACTGTCTGTGACACTGCCTTTGTGGACCTTCCTGTTGTCTTTGCACTGTGAAACTGCGAGGTTTGATCCATCCTTCTCCTTTTCAGGGGTACGGCCTTTGAGAAGCACACAGTCTTTGGCTCAGGGAGATTACAGAGGGCATGAAGCACGCCAGCGGCGCAGTGTGCCTGGCCCCAGCAGTATCAGCTCCTCTGCTTTCTTTTCACACTGCTGTATTCAAACACCCCTCTGCAATTCCCGTCTATGGTCACTTGAGGTTACACACATGGTCCGATTGCTTTTGCTTTCTTTCCTTTCTGTAGTTATTACCCTCTTGGAGAGCTTTTGGCTCCTTATTTGGACATATAAAAGATGTAGAACATTTATTTCAGCCTTGTATCTCTTTCTGTAGATAGATCCTCCTCACACAGAACTGTCAATGAAGCAATGCTAATTGCAACTGGTTTTAAAATGCTAGTAATGCTTCTGGGCTGTGCCAGTCACACTGAAGTCAGCAGGGTGAAGCTGATGTAGAAATGGCAGTGGGTTGAGAAGAATAAAGCCAGAGGATTTTGACAGCTTTACTCCTGCTCTACCAAAAAAAATGTATTCATGCTTAATACCTGGCTTCTTACTCCTGTGTACTGAGGCACTGATTGGTTTAAAAATTACTGTAACATGGCTTTTAAGTAGATATTGCTGAAGGTTTCATGTCATCAGTGGAGGTACTTGATATATTTTTACACAAGTATATAAAATTCCCAGGACAAACTTTGCAGAATTTTTAGTGGCTCTTCCAAGTTTTCCGGTCCTGTAGTTTGACACTACCATCTGTATGTTTTCAGCTTGCTATCATGGTAATTTTGGGAGCTGTTCTGGAAGAAGCCTATCAAAGCAAACAGCAACTGTAAAGCTCAGTGGCAGGTGCCTCTTTCTCTTTGCTTGGTTTCTGGATACAGACAGGGGCTCTTTTAAGCAGAGGCATCATAAACGGCATTTTTGGAACAGGACGGGAAGTTGCTGACTTCTCATGACAGAAGTCCTCCTGGGTACTTCTCCTGCCTTTTATTCATGCTTGCTCCTTTTGCGGCCTTGGGTAAGTCACTTTTAAATTTTCTGAGGCCAGGTCCTCATCAGGTGTAAAAAGGCACAAGTGTCTAAGGGCCAGTGCTATGCCATGTTACAACAGGGGACCGGGCCCTCTCCCCTTTTCTAAAATGCGGATAGTAGCACTTACCTACCTCACAAGGATGCTGTGAGGATTAATGCTCATACAGCACTTTGAAGATGTAAAATGCTATGTAAGTCCCAAGTATTATCCTACCTTAGTGTTAAAAATGCTCTTAGGGATCTGCAGGACTTCTCTTAAAAGCATGGAATGTGTGACTGCCTTTTCAATTTGCATCAGATGGAAAGCAAATGCAAAATATTTATTCATACTGGTTAACATGACGGGCTCAGCTGCACTTGAACTCTGAAGAGTGTTTAGCTTAAAAGTCTGAACTCTAATTTCAGTTTTGCAAATGGTTTTTAGTTCTTCTAAAAGCCTTAACCAAACTCTTAGATGTGAACCTTGCATCCAAATTTTGCAGTCTGGTCTTATCCCTGACTGTTAGCTAGAATAAATCTAATCCAGCCAAAACACAGTGCTCTCACAGTCTGCTATGGCTGTTGAAAAGACTGGAACAGAAAATGAAGTCATTCTGTTCAACCTTCATTCTGCAGAAGGTCAG